CTCTTCGTCCCTTTCGTCCTTGTCCGCCCGTCGTCGGGTTGCAACCCCTAGGAGGCGAAATGCAGCATCGGCGTCAGCATTTTCTTAGGTCAATCCCAGCCCTGATCCGCTGAATCCCGCCTTATCAGGGTCCAATCTGGCATGTCTCGGTTCACCATGCCTCCGTGTACCAGCACGCAGGTGTACTTTTCTCAGCCTCCCGACGTCTGATGCCATTTGGGCTCAGGCGCTCGGCCGTTTCAGAACAATGGTTGGGCGCTGAAGCAGCACTCTCGGGCAGGCCACGCCCTGGCGGGTTCGCCGAGCGCATTCCACTACTCGCAAAGTGCCCCTTCGCAAACGTCTGGAAAACACATGTTCGCCTCGACATAATGGATCGTCGATTCCCCGCGGCGGATCCAGGCCATTTGCGAGTAGTTACTTTGTGAGTGGTGTTGCGCGCTTGTCTACGGGTGCTTTGGCTCGCGCTTGCAAGCGTGCCGTCCTGTGGCCCGTTCTGCCTCTCCGCGTCCTGGCGGGCACCCGCGGTGTCGCGCGCCTGCGGCGCGCTTTGCCCGCGTGCGTCTGCCGTCTCGGAGGGGCGAACTGCAGTAGTGGATCCGTCCGCCCGAGCGGGGCGACAAGGCGAGGGCCCCGGGGAGGCCGCCTGCTGAGATGACCGTGGGGGGTGCTAAAGGGGACAGGGGGGTTCGAAGTGGATGCTCAGGTGGGTCATATCTGGCCGAACCTGGCTTATAGGTGGGTTACAGGTGCCCTAAATGGTTAGGGGATCCAATCACTCCGCTAAGTGGGCTGAGCCCACTTATCCCGGATCGTTAACCCCCCTAGACCAGTCAGGGCACCTGTAACCCACTGATAAGCTTGGTTAGGCCAGATCGAACCCACCTCAGCATCCGTTTCTAAGCCTCCTATCCCCAAAGCAACCCCAGCGGTCATCTGAGTGCTCATTCCCATGATCACCCGCCACCTTCTCTTCAAGTGTACGTGCTTCCCCTTTCTGGTTGCGCATCGCACGATGGGGTCACTTAGCGGAGGTAGAGAAGAGACAATGTCAGAGCAGTGGGAAAGGATGGGTGGGATATGTGGGATGCCAGATGTGTAGCGCGCGCACCTAGTTCGCTCCTTCTCCTCTTGCCTCTCCCCTCCCCCATTTCCCCTCCCCCTCTCCTTCGTCCCCCTTCTCTTCCCTTCTCTCCTCTTCTCTCCCCTTGCTCTCCTCCCTTTTATTTCTTCTCCCCTCTTCCCCTTTCTCCCCCTCGTCCTTCCCCTCGCCCGACTCCACTTTCCCCTGTTCTCTGTTTCACCCTCTCCCCCGTGCCCTTTCCTCTTTTTCACTTCGCCATTTTCTCTCGCCCCTTCCCCTTTCCCTTTCCCCGTTCGCCGCCTCCTGTCCTCTCCTCCCTCCCTCCCCTGCCTCCGCCTTGCCCTGCCCCTCCAGCTTCCCCGTCCACTGCATTCTTCCGCTCCCCCCCCCACTTTCTCCCTCTCGCCCCCCCCGTGCTTCTCTCCTTTTCCTTCGCGCCCCCCTTCCCCCTCCCGAGTCTCTGGCCGCTTCGTCCTCCCCGTGTCCCCCGTCTTTCATCCCCAGCCCGCATCCCCATTGCGAGGAGGAGGAGGAGGAGGAGAAGGAGGAGGAGGAGGAGGAGCAGGAGGAGGAGGAGGAGGATAAGGAGGAGGAGGAGGAGCAGGAGGAGGAGGAGGAGGAAGAGGAGGAGGAGGAGGAGAAAGGGGGAGGAGGAGGAAGAGGAGGAGGAAGTGGAGGAGGAGGAGCAGGGAGGGGGGCGATGCAGCCTTGCCGAGTGGGTGCTGCGACAGGGGGCTGGGATTTTTGGGAGCGCCCCCCCCCCCCCCTTTGCCACGGATGCCCGCGGGTGCCACTGACTGGGGCCCAGGTTTCATTTTGGGCCATCACTTCCCATTCTCCCTTCTGTCTCTCCTACCCCGTTCCCCCCCCTTCCCCGCATTCTCCTCTTTCTCCAGCCCCCCCCCCCTCCCAACCGCCTGCTTCCCCACAACCTTCTCCCCCTCTCCCTCCCCGCCCTTCCTCCACTCTACCCCGGCCCCCTCCCTCTCCCCCCTCCCCCTCCCCGCCCCTCTCTTCACCCTGCCGTCACCCTCCCTTCAGTCTCCCTTCGCCTTCCCTTCTCCCTTCTCCCTTCTTCCCTCCCTCCCCTGCTTCTCCCTTCCCTTGCAGCGTCGTGCACCCCCCCAGCACTGATCCCATAATGGGATTGTTTCGCGAACATCTGAGTCCTGTGTCCTCCCTTTCTTTCCCCCCCTTCCTGCCCTTCCCGTCCCCCGCCCTCTCTCGTCTCCTCCTCCCCCTCCTCCTCCTCCTCCTCCTCCTCCTCCTCACTGCCCCTCCCTCTCCCACACCCTCCCCCCTCGCTTCGTCCTTCTGCTGCAGTTCCGACCCGAGCGCGGGGCGATCCACGCGCCATCGCGTCCCTGGAGCCTGGCAGGGGCCTTGGCCCATGCGAGGCGCACACCGAATCTGTCCATGATGCTGCGGGAAGTTGGCGCGGCTGTGCCGTGGGACGTCGGGGGGCCGCCAACTGTGCACCGACGCCCCTCCAGGCCAGGCCGTTCTTGGGCCCACGATTGGTGTACATGCCTTCCTGGGCAGGCCAGGAGCGAGCAAGCACGGAGGGGCCTGGCGAGGCCGGTGTGCGTGCATAGTTGGCGTCCTCCTAGGAAGTCCTCGAAGCCCACGGAATCTCTTCCGACACCATCTGTTGGAAGAAGGCCGTTGCCGTGGTGCTTGTTGCGTTCCTCTACGCGGCGCTGTGTTACAGCGTGCGCGTGCACGGGCGGGGTGTACAGATCTCAACTTGTGTGTTCGTCACGTCCCTCGTGTCCACACAGTTGCTGGTGAAGGCGCTGAGCTCCCCCCAATTCGGCTTCAATTTTCCTGCCTGGCTTGCAGTAGCCCACTTCTTGTCCGTCTGGCTGTGCTGCTGCGCCAAATGCGCTTGGTGCGGAGACTGGAAGACATTGCTGCCAGGATCCATCGGATCCTTCAAGCGTTACAGAACGTTCGTGGTGCCGATCGCGGGGAGTCTTCCGCTGTCTGTGATATTCAACAACACAGCGGTCGTTTTCCTGGGCGCCGGGCTGAACGCCATCGTCGGCACCCTGTCGCCGGTCTCCACGGCACTGCTCTCGCGCCTGATGGGCCGGACGATCCGGAGCAAGGCCTGGTTGGGCGTGCTGTCGGCCTTCTTCGGTGCCATGATGATCGCGTGGGGCAAGCTGGGCGGCCACCACGCGAGCGGGGACGTCACCACCGGGCTGCTGTTCGGACTGGGCGCGGTGATCTTCCGGTCCGTCAAGGTTCAGGAGGGGAAAAAACACACAGACACAATTCATCATCGACTCCCAGGAAAGTATGGGAACATAGGGGAAGTGGGGGGGAAGACAAAAACCCAGAAGATATAGGAAAATATGGGGAATCCTGTGATTAGTGTGTATTTATTTGTGTGCCCCAGGGCCCCTTCAAAGGTGGTCTTGCAGGACATGCTGCTCTCCCCTGCCGCCTACGCCAAGGCAGACGCGAAGCCCCTGGTGGCGAAGAGCAGCGAGGATCGGGGATACGGAAGACTCGAGTGCGCCGGAACTCGGGTTCGCCTACGCTTCTCGACGAGCGCGTCCTGAACTGTGGCGGTCCCGTAGTTGTGGGATGTCTGCGGCGGGAGCTCGCGTCAAGTTTCTGACCGGGTCTCGTCAATTTTCCTGACGGCCCCGTCCGGCCAGTCCGAGTCCCCCGAACCCGAGTCTTACGTCCTCCAGAGAGGAGGCCTTGGACCCGATGCACGTGTGGTCCCTCCAGTGCCCCCCAGCAATCCTCGTCTCGCTGCTCTACGCGTTCTGCTCGGAGAGCGTCGTCGAGCTCTGGGCGCGTCTCTCTCCGGCCGTTGTTGCAGTGGTTCTCTGCTCGTGTGTGAGCGCAGCAACGCTCAACATCCTGGGGATGTACACCATTAAGTCCCTGGGCGGAAGCTCCATGCAGATCATGGGCAAGCTGAACGTGATCATGGTGGTCGCCTTCTCGGTCGCCTTCATGCAGGAGACGATCCAGGGCAAAGTGATGCTGGGCACCTGCTTCGTCGTGGCCGGCGTCGCGATGTTCGAGTATTTCCAGCACGGACAGAAGGCCGTTTCCCAGGCCAAGAAGGGGGCAGCGCAGCAGACGGTCTAGCAACAGTTGCAGCACCGCTGAAGCACCGCCATCGTTCCAGCAACGCTGTCAGCCGAACGCCCCAGGCTGGCCAAAGCAGCGGAGCCCTGGCGGGTTCGCAGGCAGCCGGCTGGTAATGATCTCTTGTGGGCGCGTGCCGCGGGAGAGCTTGCGAGCGTTGCCCGCGTATGCAGCCTGGACCTTGTCTCCCGTTGGGACGCCGACAAACATGCTGCGCCTTTCTGATGCGGCTGGTGTTCGACAGATGGCGTGCGAGGTGGCTCGTCCAGCACGCTCGTCACACCCTGTCCCCCCGCCTTGGGGACAGCGTTCACCGACGAAGCCCCGGCAGGGGCTAACAGCGCGCACAGGAGGGGGACCTCGAGGGGCGATGGCCTCACAGGGACAGCGCACTCTTGGGAGATGAACTTTGCACGCTATCTTTAAGTCGGGCATGTCCCTCTTCAGGAGGAATATTCAGGAAAAGCATCAACATAGCCTGGGGACAGTATCCGATCATTTTTTGATTATGTTTGAATATTTTGTTTGACAGCTTTTCATTGTTCTTCCAAGATCCCCCTCTAGGATGACATGCCCGACCTAACGCTACCTTTCCAGCGCCAACCGTATCCTTTCCAGAGCGCCAGTGCCCACTATCTTTGAAGCGTGCTGTTCTCCCATGGCACGCAATGCGCCCATCAGCTCGTGCCAGGATCCCTACATCCCTTGTCATACACCTGTTACTGTCGTCTCTCCTTTTCGTCCTACTTTCTTCTCCTTTATGCCACCTCTCTTCTTCCTCGTCCGGTGATTCACATAACCTGGAGATCGCGTTATGAATCGACGAGCCGGATACGCTGAGATCGCTGCTTGGCAAGTGTTTGTGTGTCCAGCTCAACAGGGGCTGCGTCGCAGAGCGCGGCAACCTTCTGACTGACTCCCGGGGTCCAAGCTGGACCTCCGAGCGGGGAGATCCCGCAATGGGCCCTACAACCCAAGCGCCAGCGCGCTCTTGCACGGAGCTCGGGCATCAGACAGAAGGCTCTGGCACGCTCGGAAAACTTTCGGCGAGGCAAGTCTTGCCGATAACCTTTCTGGGGCTCAGCCTCTGGAGCTCTGTCTTCACAACCCCGACACGCGTCTCTGTCCCTATGGCTGGCACCGCCTCATCTCAGTGCTGTTTTGAAGTGTTCTTGCCAGTTCCTGAGGGCACATCCTTAAGATTGTGATCGCCTTGGGCTTCACGGCCTTGGAGATTTGGATCCGCTCGAGGCTGGTTCCGTCTGCCCGTCCGCCAGCCGCCGCCCTGCAGAATTCGGGCGCCCGCCTGCGGGGGGGGGGTCCTCGGAGCGCCCGCCGTCGCGCCAGGGGCCTGTGCGGGCGCTGCGGCGCTCTGGGCGACCACTTCGCCGACGGCTGCCCGCTGATCGGCGGGGGCACCAGGACGCCCTGTCTGCGGGAGTGGAGAGTCGGGCGCCCGCTTTCCGTGCTGTCTTCGGGAGGCCCCAGGAGTGCACACGGGTCGCCGAGCCAGCCTCCAGCAGGCGCGCCTCGACAAGAGCATCGGAGCGCCTCCCATTCGGCGATCAGTGGGTGTACCTGCAGCCAGGTACGTCGGGGGAGTGCCCTAGCGATGTTATATCATAGCCGGGCTCGTTGTTGGGACTCCATCGAGTGACCAGGGTCCTACGAGTGGTTCAGGTCCACGAGACCAGCTAGTTTAGCCCCAAGCATTTTGGTTTAACTTTTGACGATTCGCGTGACCCCATGCGCCCATCCATGAACGATTTGCAGGCACGTGGTCATTGTAGTTGGGGAGCCTCTGGTGAATAATTCGGTGGGAACGCTTCTCAATCCGAAGCTGGGTTCAGCCCCCAACAATGGCCAACACAGGAACACATGGTCTCTTGGCGTATCCTCTCGCACATGACCCTCGCCATGTCCTATTGCGGGCAGCGGCCCTCACCGTTTCGAGGGCTTTTTTTCGACCACGACGTGATCCTTCGTTCGCATGGGAAGGGCTGGATTTTGGTGTGGACGATCATGGTCAGCCTCTGCACTGGACACGCGTGGACACGCGCTTCGGCGATGGACTCCGCACACCTACGGCAAATGCAGCGCGCACCATGCTTCAAGTTTGCCTGGCGATCTTCCGCTTCACGCTGTGGTGCTGGCCTTGCTGCCGTGGGCTGTGATGTTCGCATTCTCTCCCCGACCCCTCCCCCGAAAAGGGAGAACACATGCACGAGGTCGACGTTCCCCCCCCCCCCCCCCGAACACACCCGGACTGCAGACGTTGTACACTCTTCCATGCGTGTGGCCCAGGAGCCCTCGGCGACCTGCCCCTGGGCCAAGGTTTTCGCAGCTGCTTTCAGCAAGCCAGCGTCCACTGCCACTGGCCACCCTGCTGGTTAAGCGTGCAGCGACGGGCGCCGTCTGAGCCGAGAGCCCTCGTGGCGAGTTTACGTGGAGACTCACGGAGCGCATGCACGAGAATCTGGGGCCCAGGTGTCGGCCACGTTCGCAGGACGGCCCTACCACGTTGCCCCGAATGCGCACGTCTTGCTCTCTCGGCACAGGCTCTGCTTCGCGCGTTGGCTCACCTTCTGCAGCTTGGCCCTCGCGTGTCTCCGGGCTTGCCTGGTGCATGTTGTGGAGCGCCGGCGGCGCGATGGGCTCCTCCCTCCTTCTGGGGTGCCGGTATTGAAACGCTTTGGTCGAGTGATCTGCTTGTCTGTCGCCCCCGGGGAGCCTTCGACAGATGCCTTCCGACGAAGGCATCTGTACACCATCACCGTGCCAGGCCAGGGCCATCCTGGGCCCCAGGATGGTGCATAGACCCTCCTGGCCTCGGCCAGGCGGGCGTATACACCATACCAGGGCCAGGATGGCCCTGGCTTGGCACGGTGGTGGTGTATAGATGCCTTCGACAGCTGCCGGGCCAGCGAGGGCCAAAGCCAAGAGCCGGCGACCGGCGCCTCCCGCCGAGTCGGCTCGGCCCCCGGGCGACGGCCTGGGCCGCGCGCGGGGGGCCACCTCGGCGTGCCCGAGCGGCTGTCCCGAGGCTCCGCTCGAGCTGCAGCCAGCCGGGCAGGCGCCTGCGGAGCCTTGTGGGGCGCGCAAGGGGGGGGCGATCAGTGGGGGGGGGCAGCGAGGGCTGCAGAAAGGATCGGAGGTGGATAGACCTCCTACCCTGACACGTCGATTAAGGAATTGGCCGTTTTCGGTTCGCGAGAGGGCGTCCGGGCCATCATTTTTGCGGGTCCAGGTCCGTCGGTTTCGGTACCAGGCCGTTTTCGCTGAGGGGAGGTTTACTCAAGGGA